GAGGGAGGAGGAGGAGGAGGAGAAGACGGAGAAGAAGATAAGAGTAAACTAGCAGCATTCAGAGCCTCTCTATACTCTTCGTTGCTGCGGCATTCTTGCTGCTCATCATCCTCACCATCGTGCTGACGATGCTGTTTGGTGTTGTGCGTGGGGTGGGACTGAGCTTGCTGCTGCTGCTGCTGTTGCTGCTGCTGCTGCTGCTGCTGCTGCTGCTGCTGATCCTGCTCGGGCGCAGGGCTTTGGATAATCAAATCGGGCGGAGACAGGAAGGGGGGCAGCAGCTGCAGCTGCTGCTGCTCACCCTCCTGCTGCTGCTGGTCCCGCTGCTGCTGCTGCTGCTGCGACAGTTGCTGCAGCAGTTGCCGCTGCAACGTCTGCTGCTGCCTCGAACCCTTACCTCCTGAGGGCTTGCTGCTGCCTGCTGCTGCTGGCTGTCCGCCGCCCACTCCTTCGTTTGCTGCACATGCAGCGGATGCGAGGAGTCGTGTCTGCTGCTTCTGCTGCTTCTGCTGCTTCTGCTGCTGCTGCTGTTGCTGTTGCTGTTGCTTTTGCTGCTCCAGCTGCTGCTGTTGGTGTTGGCACGCATTCTTCTTGGTGTTGTTGTGGCCATGTGTCTGTCCAGCTGCTGCTGCTGCTGCCGCTGTTGCTGCTGCAGTTGCTGCTGCTGTTGCTGCTGCTGTTGCTGCTGCGTTTGCTGCTGCTGCAGCTGCTGCGTTTGCTGCTGCTGCTGCTGCTGCTGCTGCTGGCGTCGGGTCAAGCAGGGCGTCGATGCTAGCTGCCTCATCTGCTGCAGCAGCAGTAGATGCAGTGAGGAAGGATTCTCTGTCTCGCTCTGCAGCAAACTTAGAGGGGGTAGAAGTATCCACGATATCATCTGCTGCTGTTGCTGCTGTTGTCGTTGCTGCTGCTGCTGCTGTTGCTGCTGCTGTTGCTGTTGTTGCTGCTGCTGTCCCTGCTGCTGCTGTGGCCTCTGTTAACTCCTCAGCAGCAGCAGCAGCAGCAGCAGCAGCAGCAGCACCCCAGCAGAAGGGGAGAACGGCCCCGGGGGCCGATGTGGCGGGGGAGGAGCTCTGCGCCATTGGGCGTGCTGCTGCTTCTTTGCTTCAAATTCAGGTGTATAGGCAGATGCACAGGGGTTGAGGTGTACATACACCTGCTGAGGTGTACAGACACCGCAGCTATTCTACGGAGAGGTAGACGGATAGAATAGTAAGAAAGGGAGCAGAAAGAAAAAGAAATCCGCGCGGGGGTCTGTTCTTCTTTCCTGTTGCAGTACGCTGTCGATGATGATGCTGCTGGTGATACTCCTGTTGTCGCTGCTGCTGCTGTCGCTGCTGCTGCTGCTGTTGCTGCTGCTGCTGCTGTCGTTGGTGGTGTTGCTGCTCATGCAGCAGCGGTCACGCAGGTGCAGCGACCGCCTGGGGCGTTATCTGATAGTTTATTTTTTTGCTGTCTTCTTTTCTGTTTAATAAAGAAGATATTTTATATAAACTGCTGCTGCTGCTGCTGCTGCTGCTGCTGCTGCATGCAGCCGTCGATACGAATCGGCACAATAAAAATATGCTGGGGAGGAGAGGCGGGGGATGGGGGGTACGCGAGCAGCGAGAAGAAGGAGCAGAAGAGCAGCAAAAGGCTGGCTTATAAAGTAAATGAAAAGAATAAATAAAAACAAAAGATTACAACTGATGAAGAGAGCTGCAAGAAAAACAAAAACACTAGCCGACGAGATAAAGGCGGTTGGGCGTTGCCGGAGGCGGCGCAGACGGCAGGGGAGAGGAGGATGCGGGGGATTCTCTGTCTTCTTTGGGTTAAAACAGAAGAATAAAGTATTTAAACAAACTTTATTACGAAATATAAAAGAAAAATAACACAAAATGATGCTGTTTCCGCTCCCCTTCGATTGGGGTGTCCATACACTCGACGCGGCCACGCTAGCAGCAACCAGCGGTGCGGCAGGCAGAGCCGTGCGTTTCCTTCTTGCAGTGGAAACGAATGTGAAAATAAAAAGAGAATTTACGAATCAAATACAGAAATAAACATAAATTTAAAACAAGAACAAACAAAATATTACACGCAGAAGGTGTGCGCCCCCCAAAACCAACACCAGCAAGACAGACAAAAGCCAAGACCACCCTAGACGGTGTAGACTAGCCACGCCAGTATACCATCACGTTCTACACATCCTAGAAAAAGAATAAGAAAAGCAGAATGCCTTTCTGCTTTTCCGAAGAAATTCAGCAGAAAAACTGAACCAACAGCCGCCGTCACGCTGCAGTGTACAGACACCCCAGCAGCAGCAGCTAGCTAGAACGGGGTGGCTAGGATGACCTGTTCTTAGTGCGGCGTAGCTGTACATACAGCGCCCTCATCTTGCCCCGTCTTCTGCATTTATTTCAATTAAAACGCCACAAAAACTATAAAAAACCAATTAAAAATTAAATTCTTCTCTGGTTTTATGTTTTTGCTGCTGCTAGCTGCAGCACCGCCGGGTGCTAGTCTGCAGCGCAGCACCACCCACCGTCCTCATTCCGTCTTGTATATATGAAGTGTCACTTCTTTATATCTCAACTTCTGTATTTACATTATTTTATTTTCTCCTTTTCATCCCCTTGAGCTTATGTTACTGCTCTTCTGCTGCTACAAACAGCTAGAATACACCCGCCAGAGCAGTGGGGGGCCTTCGTCGTATATCTCTGTTGTTCTTCTGTCTTTCTTTTCTTTTGCTGCCTAGAAGGTGTCATCTGTATGCGGAATTTTATTTATTTTTTCTTCTTCTGTTTGTTTAGCAGCTAGTAGCTGCAGCAGCTGCAGCTGCTGCAGTTGTATATAAACACCCCACCACACGCCTCCACCCTAGACACCTTGCGGTGTACATACACCCCAGAGCATTCCGCTAGCTACCGCGGCATTATTATAAAAAAAAAAGACAGAAACTGCTGCTGCTGCTCTCTATAGACAGCTGTCGCAGCAGAAGAAACTCTATAAGATGCAAACTACACCCTTTCCCGCTACGGTTTGTCTATAATAAAGATGTAATTCTTCTGTCGCTCGGCTGCCTACAACACATAGCTGGACCTATCCAGGTGTACGTACACCCGGATGCTTATGGTTTTGCACATCTATATATATATGTATATATATATATATATATATATATATATATATATATATATATATATATATATAT